CACACATACGCACTCACACACATGCACAGACACACACACACACATGCTCACATACACTCATACACAGACACACACGGAGATACATACACTTCCTCACAAACACACACAGACACACACACACACACAAATACACACAGACACATACACACAGGTACACACACAGACACGCATACAGGTACATACACACAAACACAGCCATACACAAAACACACAAAGACATTTTTACAGTCTCTCACACAAAGATATACATACACACAAACACAAATACAGATACACACACAAACACACACTCACACAGGCATTCACACGCTCTCTCACACACACAGATAAACACACACAGACACACACAGTTACACACAGCACAACACACAGACATTCACACACTCTCTCACACGCACACAGATATACACAAACACAGAGACACACTCCCTCACACACACTAACACAGATACACATACACAGACACACACTCACACTCACTCTGTCACACACACTACCACATACAAATTCACACACAAATACACACGTGTTACGAACATACTGGGGTAAAATTCCTCTCACGAATTCTCTCTTCAGAGACACTCCCTTATTGTGGCGCTATATGAAGTCACAGCAGAACAACGCTCCTCACTGATATGTATAGGGAGCACGGTATAAAAAACAGAGAGAAAACAGTCCTGTTTGGGTTTAAAGCAAAATGCCCCAAGACAACCCCACTCTCTTCACCCCCTACAGCCACTGGGGCAAGAAGATGGCCCTGCTTCAGTTATTTACAAACAGGGAGAGACTAGGACCAGAGGGAACAATATCAGAATGAGTGGTCGCCCATTGAAGACAGAGATGGGGGGGAGTTTCTTCACTCAAATCGGAGTGAATCTGTGGAATTCTTTACCACATGGGGCTGTGGAGGTTGGGTCATTCAGTACATTCAAGGCTGAGGTAGGAAAGTCTTTAATCAGAAAAGGTTCCGGGGGGCGGGGGGGGTGAAAGGCAAGAAATTGGAGCTGAAATTGAATGGCAGAGCAGACTCGACAGGCCTAATAACCAACATGTGCTCCCGCTTCTAGCGAGCTGACTCCTTCCCACAGCAGAGCGTGGTTCTCCGTACAGGGCCTGAACACCAACCCTGAACACATGGAGAGAAGTGGTCGGTTTTGGTCAGGGTCACTGCCCCTGAATAAGCGTCAAGCAACACCCATCCCTCCCACCAAGACACCCCTTAATTTTGTGTTACAATTACCCAGACTTTCTCCGGGAAATATCAAACGTAATCCAAACAGGGAGGTGTTATTTGTAGGGAATATGACTGAAGGGCAGTCATATTGGAATCTGGTCACCGGCTGGCATAGAATCAATGAAGGCTAATGGCACAGAAAGAAGCTACATGGCCCATAGTCCGTGTGCTCACTTCCAAACATATTCTCCCAGCCTTACCCCCTCTGTCTATCATTTAGCCTGGAGACCCACGAGGTTCAGAGGCTAAGAGTCCAAGTCCCCTATAAATGATTCCAGAGTTTCTGCCTCTCCCACTCTCCAATCATTGAGTTCCAAACATTGGGCCACTATCTCGGTGAAATGAAATGTCCCCTTCTGCTCACCCCACCATTTCCCCCTCCCACCACCAACCTACCCCCCCCCCCCCCCCCCCCCCGCCCCGCCCCGTAGCGCCATTCTTCTTCCAAAGACTTTATCTCCCTCAGTCACTGACCTTTCTGAGCAAATAAACTGATTCACGTCTGCTCCATCTGGGTCGCTCACGATTGTGTAAGTTTCCTCTCAGCCCCTTCCAGTTACGAGGAGAAAGATCCCATCCTCTGCAAAGTCCCGTCATCCTTTCACTTTCCCAGACTTGGCAACATCCTCGTAAATCTCCCCCATCCCATACTGAAACTCTCTCCCAAACAGTATTTTGAGTGTTCCTAACCTCCCTATAAGACTGAACCTCTCTCCCTAATCGTTGATGACACACAGGCAATGAGAGGCAACCTGGGCAATATTCAATAGACATTGACTTGGGTGACGCTGAATGATTAAATTAGATCCGGAAAAGAACGACAAGCCGGGCCTGTTTTTCGACTGCATATACAAGGCCTGAGGAGGCAGCGAAGTCTTTGGAATTCTGAAAGGGGCTCCATAGGGTGGATGTAGAGCTATTCCCTGTAGGCGATGGGGGTGAGATCACAAGCATATCAATATGAGACAGTCAATACTTAATCAATCAATCATTTAGAGGAGTGAGGAGAATGGGGAACCCACTCCCACGGGGAGTTGGGGAAAAGGTGGGGAGGGGGCTCGTTCCCGCAGGAGTGAGGGGAGAATTTGGGACACGCTCCCACTGAGAATGGGTGGAGAATGGGGAGCTCTCTCCCACAGGGGGTGGGGATTGGAGAATGGGGAATTCGCTCCCACCGGGAGTGGGTGGTTGGGAGAGTGGGGAATTCGCTCCCAAGGGGAGTGGGGGGAGAATGGGGGACTTGTTCTCAAAGGGATTGGGGGACAATGGGGGACTCGCTCTCACAGGGTTTGGGGGAGAATGGGGGACTCGCTCTCACAGGGTTTGGGCGAGAATGGGCTACTCGCTCTCAGAGGAATTGGGGGTGAAGTGGGGACTCGCTCCCACAGGGAGCGGTGGAGGCAAATAGGAAAGATGCTTTGAAGCTAAATAAACACGGGAGGGAGAGAGGAATACAAGGAGAGGGGATAGCAGAATTTCGGGGCAGTTTTGTGTGGAGCAGAAACACAGCAGAGAGGCTGAGTGGCCTGTTCACTGCTGCTTCAAATTTTATAAACATGAGGAGGCTGTGCATCTACTACAAAGAGACAGAACTGCGCAGCGAATTTTCCAGTCAGTTTCACCCAACACACCTCGGTTAAAATACAAAGTTAGGCACGAGCCATTAATTGTAACTACCTTTTCCGTCTCGGGCCAAACCACCATCTCTAGGACGACACAGTGAGAGCTTTTCACCAACTGTATGATCATCGTCAGCCCCGTTTAAGACCCTAGACTCAGCCAGGTGGGAGAATATACGAGGGATTGAGAGTTTACAGGAAGGAAGGGTCCCGACCCGAAACGTCAGCTTTCCTGTTCCTCTGATGCTGCCTGGCCTGCTGTACTCCCACACTTTGTTATGCCAGGTGATAACAGGAGACAGTTTTAAAATAGTAATAATAAAACGACTGGGCAAACAATGAATTGCAGTTACATTGGACTCGAAACTTTAACTCTGTCTCTCTCTCTCTCCCCACGGATGCTGCCAGACCTGCTGAGTTCCTCTAGCGCTTTCTGTCTTTATTTCAGATCTCCAGAATCTCCAGCTCTTTGATTTGACAGCTTAAACAGTGGATCTGAATTCTGAAGGGGTCCTCTCCACAAATTCGCTGAAGCGCATGTTTGAATTCTCCGCGTCTTTGGTGTTGCAGGGAATCACAGATTAATCACTGAAACTCATATCCCTCCGCACACACGCACTTAGGTCACCATTTTCCAGCCTGTGTTAAGTAGGTTGCACAAGGATTCAAACTCTACATAGAATAAATTACAGTCAAATATTGTCACACTGCATTACACTGCTCGTGGCATTCACCACTACCTACAAGGACAAAGCCAGCAGATACATGGGAACACCATCCCCTGTAAGTCCCGCACAACACCCTGACTTGGAAATATATCGGCCGTTCCTCCAGTGTTGCTGGGTCGATTTGGAAACAGGAGCGGGAGTCGGCCATTCGGCCCTTCGAGCCCGCCCCGCCATTCAATATGATTATGGTTGATCATCCAACTCAATCCACCACCTTGCCCGTTTTCTCTCCCTAATCCATTTTGCCCCTTTTAGTCCTGAGAATTATATCTAGCTTCCTCTTGAAAGGATTCAATGTTCCGGCCCCGACCGCTTTCTGTGGCAGAGAATTCCACACGCTCCCTACTCTCTGGCTGGGGGAGACAGAGAGAAAGAGAGACTGCGGATGCCGGAAATCTGAAACAAGACATTTCTTTTTCTCTCAGTCTTATCACGACTCCCCCCCGGTCCTGGACTCCAACCTGCCCCTGCCCCAGTCATTCGGGAACATCCTTCCTGCTTTTAACCCTGTCTAGTCCTGTCAGAGTTTGAAAGGTTTCTATGAGATTCCCACCCCATTCTTCTAAACTCTGGCGAATATAACCCTCACCGAACCAGGTCTGGCCGCATCTGTGCAGAAATGGAAGTTTCACTGGACCCGAAATGTTAACTCTGCTTTCTCTCCCCAGGAACGCTGCCGGACCCGCTGAGTTTCTGCAGCAATTTCTTTGTTTCAGTCTCTGGAAATCCTCTCTGTCTAAGAGCAGTTTGTGTGTTCCAAATATCCCTATAATACTGAAACTGACTCCCTAACAGTACTTTGAGTGTTCCTAACATCCCAAAGATGCTGAA